TCGTGTCTAAAGATCTGATTTGCATAGCAAATAAAAAATCTTTGAAGATCTTGTTTGATATATTTCATAAGACAAACAGAACATTTGTGAGCATCATAAATCTTGTCCTAGGAGTCTATTTTGAAAAAATATTTCGACTTGATGTCAATTCTAATAAGTATCTTGTTTTATTCAAAAGCAATTTTCATAGTACTATGGTATTCGTTCTGCAAGATCTTGATAAGTAGAATTCTACTTTATTTTGATTATGATCTGAAATAGAAAAAAAAAAAAGGAAGGAAAAATTTCTCTTATGTATAATATCAGTAACAAGCGATGAAATTAAATATTCTTTTTTTAATATAGGTGCACGTAAAAATTATCGTGAAATTGATGAAGATGCAGAAGATGAAAGTGATGAAGAAGAAAAAACAATAGCACAGCGACGTTCAAAACGATTACGACGATCAGATTCATCTCCAATAAAAAATATAGATAACAATCAAAATACACGTCGACGAACTCGTTTAGCAAAATCTATAGCATCATCATCGGAAGATGATCAAATAACAAATAATCATAATGAAAATAGTGATACCGAACAAAATGAAGATGAAGAAGAAAATGAAAATAATAGCAATGATTCTCCGTCCTCAGACTAGTCATATTTCTAATTATTAATCATGCATCTTAAATAAGATATTCTCGAATTGTATAGATATATATATATATAATAATCAGAAGTCAAATGTTATGTTTTCCATGTAAATATGATTTTTCGTATATACATATATATTCAATCTCAAATATTTACTTCTATTACTATTGTTTATCTTAATATTATTGACAAGATATTTGATTATCTTAACCGGTTGTATATTAAAGTCAAGAGAGAATAGAAATATATGTGTTTATGTATATCATAAATCTAGCTCTATTTTGTTTTTTTTTTCTGTTATAAGAGAAACTTTAATAGATCTATTTGGTTTCTTCTTTGTACTTGTGTGTCTGTATTTTTTTTTTCGTATTATGTTGGTATAAACTCTATTTTTGTACGTCGTTCTAGGCGATATATAATTGTATGATGAATGTTTATGTGTTAAAAAAAGACAAAAACAAAATTAAATAAATAAAATATGAACTATTTTCATTTGAAAAATTACTTTGAAAATCATATTGAATAAAAAATAAATGAATTGTTGAGTCAATTTTTATTTTTTATAATTATAGGTTAACTTGAATTAAAATATTTTCAAGGAACTATATCTTTTTCTGAGAAAGTATACGAGGAAAGTGTACCAGTAAAAAGAATATTCTCACACTCAATCTTACATCTTCATCCTCTAGAAATAGATCAAGTACCAGTAATGCAAGTAAAAGTATTATCTACAAACATTGATACGAACTATCAGAACATCTTTCATGTCTATTACATTTTGCAACTCAGCTTTTCCTTTCATATTTAGACGTGTGCTGTAGACTTTTTCAAGAGATATTGAATGGTCGTCTGCTTTATGCAGCAATCGAAATAATTCTGTCATCTTCTCGATACCTGTCAATGTCAAGAATCATTTTCTCTTTTGGATAGGTCTATTTTCTTATCAATATGAGTTCAACTAATAAAGAAAAGCTACTATTCTAAGAAACGCATCACATCTTTTTAGTCGTTTTATGCACGCAAAGTAGTATCGATGGGAGTCACGAAGGATAGAAAGTCTAGAAGAGAAATTAAGAAGAAGAACCATTCAGATGAACTAGATAAGTTGGATTCTTGTGCTCGTAAAAAATAACGAGACGATAGGTAAATGTCGGTGTCTATGAGATTATTCACTCGTAGACCGAGCTGTGTTTTAGTAACACTGGTTCGAATGGCAAGTTTTTCTGGAGTTCATATCGGATATAGTTGTCTGATCGAAGATGATTTTAAGGTCAGCTTGACCTTTATCGTCATTTGTCTTTTCAATAAGGTCAGCTGCAATCGTGATTCAATGTTGCTGGATGTAAACTGACCACACTATTTGTGTTTGGGTCGATCAGTATGATAAACAGTCAATTTGAATGTTCAATCTGTGATGAGATGATGTTCTCCTTGATGGTTCTTCGATCGATTCGAATTGTTCATTGATTTTCATCGCATGTCGAAATAGCCGTGCCAATCGTCGTTTGAAGAAAATTTCGAAATTCAAAATTGTCATTACTAATTCAGTACGATGACAATAAATTTTCATGCCGTTTTAACTTCGATGAGATTCATTGATCCAGCTCCAACGATCTTCTCTATTAATCTCTCTAATGAATACCATAGTAGCACATGTATGTATCCCTCTTTGAACGATTTTTTGCTATAGAAATCTTCTTCTTTACTGTCAACGCCACGATTTTTCAATTTATTTATTTTTTGACTTTGTCCATTTGTTCAATAGAAATTTTGTCTCATTCAAAATCTTTCTTATTCCTCGATTGATTGAACAGAGAAAGATTGCCACATTCTACAAATTGATTCTCAACGTTATATCGATTTGTTTTGTTTCCACGAAGAATAGTTGATGAATTCTAATCACATGTAAAGTTCGACACGTTATTGTTTCGATTGTTGCGAGAGTCCAGATAATTGAAATGACGAGACGATTGTTCTTGATTGAATTCATTGACAGTATCGTTTAGATTTGCTATTTTCAACTCGTTTCGATTCTACTATCTCTTTCAAAATGACCCATTAATGAGATGGTGACTCTATCTTCTCCATGAATACAAAGAATTCTAGTTTGCTTATGATGATTCCACCATTTATGTCGTACTCTGTTACGAACATATCTTCTACTGAACCAAGTAAGCCAATGAATTCATCGATGTTATTGACGATCTTTGTAAATTTGTTGAAAACTCCGATCGGTGAACAATTCAGCCTCAAAGATATCAATTTGATTCTATTCGCCTTATCTATTTGTATTAACTAAAAAAATTTCAATCGTTCATTGTTGATTGATTCTATCTCACTCTTGACGCTCATCGATCGATCAGCATTTAGTGATTCTACTCGATGACCAATGGGATTGAGCATTGACCTCGATTTGGTTCGTCCAACATGATCAGGCAGATACAAATACTTTTAGATTGTCACCAAGGGGAAAAGGCGCAAAATTTATTTTTTCAGTTCACTTGAACAATGATTTCGGATACCAAAGTAGAATGATGTAATAGATGGTTCCGATTATTCGATACAATGTCTTCTTTGACGAAAGGCTGATATCAATATAGGGAACACTAACTGTATTTGACCAATAAAAGAGCAATATGAATATATATCTATTGAGATGCCACCGAATATAATATCATTTTTTTTTGGCTCTAGCATCTTTTCTCGTCAAGCTTTTCTTATTTTCAGTTTTCTTCTTCTTTTAAGAAATACAACAGAGAGCAGGGTGTGAGTGTGCGCGCTGCTGTTGGAAAAGGTTTTCTATTCACGTACAGATATGGCTCGCCTTGTTACACGCATATCCACATTCATATTCTTTATAACAACATTCATCAGAAGAACAACTAGCAAGAATTCGTCTTCATAGATATTTTGTCGTACAGATGAGGTCCGTCGACTCTCTCAATGTATCTCTTGTCCACATGAATAGAATGCAACGACTTCACATATTAAATCGACGCAAGGAAAAATTAGTCGAAGAACGCAAAATCATGGACGATTTGCTTATCTTTTAGATGCTTAAACGAAATACTACATTCGTTTAGTAAATACTGTCAATGAGAACAGAAAAAAATTATTTTTCTTCCTGTAAACATATCCGTTCATGTGTAACTATCAATTTATCAGATGCACATTTTACTTAAGCAATACAAAAAAAGCATCAAAGTCACGCACAAAATCGAGAAAGACAAAAATCAGTCAAAAAAAAACACAGCCATGGACATTACTTCTTCTACTTCTGACCCTGAAGAAATTGCATTATCGAGTTTCGTCAGGTAAATTTTCATTGAAATAGAGTTTGCAATACATTATTTGTTCAATGTTCTAGTGGTTCGATAAGTTCAAACTGCACAAACAATATTCTGGAGAATTCAAAAATAGAAAAATACCATACAACTCAGTAAGTCAATAGAGATTATTTCCTTGACATCTTAGTAAAGCTTCGGTCATTCTTTCAAGTCCAATGATAATCACTCAAGGTGATGATATGCTTTCAATAGATTCATTCAAATCATGTAATGAATCAACGAAAGAGTCAAATACTAATCAATCTTCAATTGTTACAATCAATGTTAGTGGGTGTCGATTTGAAACATGTCTATCCACTCTCAAAAACTTTCCGGAAACACTTTTAGGCAACGAACGTAAACGAAACAAGTATTGGAAAAAAGAACGGAATGAATTCTTTTTTGATCGACATCGGATGTGTTTCGAGAGTATTCTATACTACTATCAATCAAATGGACGTCTTCGTCGGCCAGATACCATTCCACTAGATACATTTCTGGAGGAGATTTCATTTTTTCAATTAGGTCCAACTGCACATATCCAAGTGAGAGAATCAGAAAATTTTAGCGAATTAAAGAGTAAGCCAATGCCGAAAATGTACTGGCGTAAAGTTATTTGGCGCCTTCTGGATTGTCCTCAATATTCAGTATGGGCTCGTTTAATCAATATCATTGCGATGACTTTAACTATTCTCTCGTGTATCATATTAGCTATTCAAACTTTACCAAAATACAAGAATTATTGGTTGAATAGTTGTCTCGAACAAGCAAATCTTACTCTCAACTCAACGCTTGTTCCACGTTGTTCAGCAATACTCAAGGAACCATTTTTTATCATTCAAAGTATTTGTGTTGCGTATTTTACAATTGAATTTTTTCTTCGTTTGATTAGTACTCCATCGTATAAACGCTTTTTCTTGTCGGTTTTTACATACATTGATTTAGCAGCTATTGTTCCCTACTTTGTCAATTTGGGTTTTCTATTAAATAATGCATATATAAATATAAATCTGGATATCTCAGTCTCCACAAACATCATGCGTGCAATACGTTTATTGCGTATATTAAAGCTGTATCTGGTTTTTAAACAGTTGAAAGTACTGCGTGCTCTTAGTACAACTTTGAAAGAATCTTTGATCGATTTTAGTGGAACACTTTTCGGTTTAGTTGTTTTAGCGTTTTTATTCGGAGCAGCAGCTTATGTTGCCGAAACTCAAGCAAATCCAGAAATGTTTGATTCGATTCCGAAAGCAACCTATTGGGGAATTATTACCATTACGACTGTCGGGTGAGTACAATGATAGTTTTCGTCACAGAACTATTTCAATTCGATTTCAATAGCTATGGAGATATGTATCCGATAACAGTTATTGGCCGTACAATAGCCTGTTTATGTGCCTTATCTGGTGCAGCAATCATTGGTATGCTTGTTTCAGTTTTGGTCGATCGTTACCAACGTGTCTTTAATCGAAAGATGCATTCGTCCGATCAACAACTGTTATCAAACGAATTCACTGATATGAATAATGAATATGAAGACGAGGAGAAGAAAATAATTAAAGAAATCTCAAGCAATAGACAATTAATACGCGAACAATTAGTTGAAAAAATACCGCAGTCGAATTGTCGAAAAAATTTCGATCAAGAAAAATCGCGAAAATCATCAGTACGATCCAAACTTAATTTCTCTATTTCAGTCAATGATAACACTATTGATGATCAATTAGTTAATCAAATTATTAGAAATTTGAACGAAAAATTTATAGAATTGCAACGAACTATCAACAAAGACATTCACCTGCAAATTATCGATGATGATGAAAAAATGCTTATTCAATCGAGTACTTGTGCATTATTCGGCTCAGTATCGAGCGTTACAAAAAATATCAATGAAGTAGATGATACTGTTAACTTAACTTTGCGTTCCTCTTTATAATGATAGATGTTTATTATCAACTTGTCATTTATAAACAAATTACTTTGATGAAACAATCCACTGAGATTTAATCAATGTTTTTTTTTTTATGTTCAAGTTCTCCTTAGAACATGGGCAACGGAAGGACATTGAAAGAAAAAACGTGCATAATAAGACGAATTCACTCATCTCGGAGTTTTCAAAAGAAGGGTGTGGGTGTGGGTGGGGTGTGAGTGTGGGTGGGGTGTATATTATAGTGGACGCTTAGAGATGATGCTTATAATGAATCGGTTTAGACGAAGTTTAGGTGAAAAGAAGATTTCATCTCACACACAGTCATAACTACACCGTCGTCTTTTAACAAAGTAAAAGACGTATGCATGAAGATGATGTAGTCATTTGTTTCATGAATAGCACTATTCCTATACGTATTAAATGATGTTAATAGTTGTTTGTTGGTGATATCATACCAATTGTGATTAGAAAATTAAAGTAATCATTTTAGAGTACGGTCAAGTGATTGAATATATTGTTCTGATGGAAACTATTATGGATTCTTCACTCAGCATCGGGCGAGAACCAGTTCGATGCGTTAGTGACTGTGCTCCGTTATAGAATATACGTTGCTCAGAAAGCTTTCTTAGTGAAAAACTAGGAGTCTTCCGAAACATAAGAATAAACGTTTGTGACTTTATTGATAAATCGTACTACGTCATTTCGTAATGAAATATCATTTATAATTATTCACACAATAGATTTGAAATACTTGTTGAGAAAGATAAAAACAAAAATCATGCAAATCACATAGTATGAAAAAAAAACTGAAATCAAAGCATAAAGACAACATAATTGAAAAGTTAGTTAATGAAAGAACGAGAAGCAAGAATGAAAGTTCGACAGTTAGAACTATATATCGAGGAACGAATTATTAATATAGTTCAATAATGTTCGAAAGAATCATCTAATTTTGCCAGTAATCTTTAGTAGAATGAGTTAAACACTCTAAAATAATTATGATGTGTAAGTTTTTACTGAAGTTTTGACACGCGGAACCTTGGTCACGGTTATTCCATTAGATGAACGAGTTCGATTGTTCATCGATAATGAATTTGGTCTTGGATCATCATTCGCTGGTTGTAACTTACCTGATGGTCTTATAATCTTAGCAACCTTGACATTGCTTGCACTCGTCCTCGGTGATGAAGGATTAATTGAGAAGTTAATATCAATTAAATTTTCTTCTGCAATACTGGTATTTTTAGGTGCAGCAACATTTCCCAAGTTTGGAACTGTTTTGCTACCTATTTGTTCTCCACCAGCATGGTACTGAGATGAGTTTACAGTGACTATTATGGTTGTACTCTTTCGTCGTACTTTTGTTACACTCACTCGGTTAGTATTCATAGATGACATCGAAGAAGACCTCAGTTTCTGCTCATCACCCATTATAGTTTGGACGTTTTCATTTTTGTTGTTTTCTTTTAAACAAAGCATTTTGCTCACGCGACGAACATGAACACCCGATCGACAGTGAGCCAAAGCATTTTATCAATGTTTTCACTAGTCGAACGTTTAATGGTTGCACTTTCAGTTTCTATCGGCGTTTTAATAGCATGTACATTCGTAAAACTGATTTGACTCATATTCAAGTCAGTGCTTGGTTGTACAACATTACTTTTTCTGTTCAGCAGGGTTGATCTGGAACTCTGTGCACTTTCTCTATTGTTGAACATAGTATAACTCTGGCCAGTTTTCTTTGGCCATTTCATTCGTAATTGTTCAGTAACATCAGGTGTCATTCCTAGCATATCATTTGTACTTTGTAAAAGAGAACTTTTTGGTCAAAAAGTTATTTCGGTTGTAACTATCAACCATGGTTATAACTATCAACCGTAGTTATAACCAGATATGGAACCGGTACCGGTAACCGGTCGGTCCGGTCTGGTACCAGCCTGGATTTTGAATCGATCGGTCTACCGGTATTTACCGGTCTCACCGGTCTAAACCGATCTAAGCAGGTCGAAACCGTCTTATACCGGTCTAAATTTTCACTTTCCTGCTCTTTGATGGTATTCACATGAAAAAAGCAACTGAAACCAAGACTAGTTCCACTGATCACACACGAATTTATTTAACAAATAGTTTTCAGAATGTCCATCAGTGAGACTATTGTTATCAACGGTGAAGCATTATGCCATTATGCGTGAAGATACCAAGGTAGCCCGCAACAGAGTTCACCATGAAACAAAGTTTCATTTCAAGCATCAGACTGTTGTCTGTAGACCGACATTTTGACGGTAGGTCGAATTTTCTCTGATAAACTGACGTATCATCAGCATCCTGTTTAGTGCCGGTAGGCTGATTTTGGCCTGTAGACCGGTCAGATCCGCTCTTCCCATTAAATCGGTTTAGGTCGGTAAACCGGTCTTACCGGTTTTTGCTGGTAGACCGATTTAGATCGGTCAGACCAGTTCCATCTCTGGTTATAACTATCAACCGCGGTTATAACTACCAACTGTTCCAGTTTTACAGATTCATATCACATTTTTTTCACTAATTAATTGAAATGCGTCTAGGCTCCATTCTAATGTATAATATTCTTCGATTTTATTCTTTTCATTAAAAATATTTTCATTTCCTTTTGAAAAAAAATAGAAGATTTTAGCTCGAGATAAATGCAAATAATATCGTATTGATAATTTATTTAAAAATTCAAGAGCACACTTACGTTAGAAGAATCAACATAATAGTGTAAGATGAACAAGAAAAAAAATTAGACAGAAACTGATTTTATTTAAATCACCTATATACCCATAGCAGCTGTTAATAGCTCTTCAACATCATAATCTTCGCTTGATACTGTTTCAGTTATTTCATTTTCAGGTCACCTATCATCTTCAGTAGATAGTAATTTAATATCTTCAATAAAACCAAGATCCATTAGTATTTGTTGATAATCTCGATCTTTAGTATTGAACATACAATCGAGTTCTGAAATATCGTCATCGTCAAAAGATTGTTCTTCATTAATAGGTTCCGCTTCACATTTTGTACATAAAACATGATGATTATCACTAACACAAAGTACGAAATCAGCAGCATCTGTAGAAGAATAATTTGATTCATCAGTAATACCCGAACTTGTATATGATTCATCAGTTAAATCTAATATTTCTTTCAAATAATCAGCATCCAAGGCATCTTCAGTACTGTTCAATCCATTTTTGTAAAATGTATGTATTTTAGCAATTGCTTCAAGTGTAAATGAATTAAGACGATTACGACGTTTTGTGTGATACCAATCTAGAATAGAAAACAATCGTTCAGGCATCACAGAATGAGGTGTAATTGAGAATAGACGTAATGCAATATTGAATAGAGAATTTTTTTGTGTATTATCATTAATCATGGACACCACGAAGCTGGTGTATCATTTATTTATAAAATCAAATAAGACAAGAATTATAATTTGTCTATTTTACCTTTTGTAAAATGGAGTGCATAAGGTCCACTTTTGGTCTAGAATCTCTGCAACGCACTTATTACATTTTTAGTCGTTGCCAAGATGTTGCTAATTTTTTTGCTATATTCAGCAAGGTAGCGATACACAGCTGATCGACCACCGGTAAGCATGTCACTACCACGATACTTCGGATGAAGACAATAAGCACTTAAATAAATATCATTCTGGAACTCCTTTAATCGAATATCAACCACCTTGCCAACAAACCGACCAAAAGTTCGAGTTTCAGTACTATCAACAAATCGATTCGTTGTTAAATGAAGATATGATAAAGTTAAATAACAATCAGTCAATGTAATAGAAGAAGATTGAATAATCGACATTGCCTATACCAATAAATTCATAACTTGATATTAAGTTTCAATGTCATGAAAGAATGAACGATTATTTATAATATTAATAATTCTATTAGGTGCTATTGATTTATGAATAGCTACAAGTACCTCTAGTGGTGCTCGAAGAACAATAAATGAGTTCAAGTATTCAGTTACACTAGACTACCTAGTAGTAACAATTGTATGAAGAGTTTTTTTCTTATTTGAATACGTTCAGCTTCTTCTTTAAGTTTTGTTCTAAAAAGATGCGAACGACTGCAAAAAGACGTAATAGTTGCTGCCTTTTGTATAATATTTCTAGCATAAACATGCTTGATGATGTGTCACCTAAATACAAAGAAAATAAACAATTACATCATGCTTTGTTAAATAGAAATTTTTTTATACATATAAAATCATTCAAAGAATTCAGAAAAACAGTATTTTCATACTTCAACAATACCAGTAAAGTAAGGAAAAATTTTGACAAATGAAGATGGGACAGTTAAATCTACAAACGGAAACGTTCGAGATCGTGATTTCATTTTATAAAGATGATACAACCCTATATGGCAACTATGAGTGAAAATGTAAATAATTTCAAATAAAAGATTCTTTGAATGCTTTTATAGTTAGAATTATATTTAAGGAATTTAAAGCAATGATTCATAAAATTCTTACCAGCAATCAAATTAATAGCATGTGCCAAGCATCTTAATCCGATAATATGTTGATTTCCTGGTTTAGAAATAAACATTGCATGCACTTTTTGCATCGTAGTAGGATTATCTGTAATAATGCCACGTAATTTTGATGTAATATTAATATTTGTGGAAACACGAGCAAGAACAGATTCTAATCGGTTCACTAAAACGTCTGCAGTATGGCTGTAACCACTAATATCAATGAGTGACAGCATGATAGTCTTACGACTATCCGTAATGACATTATATTCATACAACGATCGACGACATCGATCGCTCCATCCATCAATATTCAATCTAAGATGAGCAGCTTCGGCCAATAGTGATTCATTTTTATTCTCCACATAAACTATTTCTTGTGTAGGTACTTCATATGGTAATTTTTTTCGACCCGATAAATCATAAGAAGAATTTAGTTTTTTGATAAAATCAATAAAAAAATATTATTAACCGTTCGAAATGAAATACCATTCATGATAAAAGCGCGTAACAAATATCGATCTATATTTCTTTTCACCACAAGAAATAATTCTGGAAGTAAATCTATCTATTGTAGATTGCTTATGAGCCAATGGATCACATGATACCACCTAGAAAAATGGTAGAGTGAATTGAAATAATAATGAAACTATCTTACCTCTGTGACTTTTTTATTTATTTCTTGCTGATAATGATTGTTGTTCCAGATCACGCATTTTAATAATAGTTTCTTTGCGTGCATTTGGATCATAATTAACAATTTCATCACATTGGTGTCAATATAAGAATACATCATGCGAAGCTTTGCAAAATTTAAGCATAATAAACAATACTTGCACTGTGCTTTTCGATGACCTGGTGTCTTGGCCCGGCCCATATCATTGAAATGCAACCAAATGAAATCACATGGACGATCACCATGTTTCGATGATTCCAATGTAATTGTAGAAGGAGAACTAGTAGTAAATATATTGGAGAAAGTTTGTGAATTTGAAGATGATAACAATTGTGCCACACGGTTGAGTAGTGTCACATATCCAAGATTTTGGAGATGCCACCATATCTCCCGTGGGAGATGCCGCGTCTCCAGCGGGAGACGCGACACCCACACTCGAGAGATGTGGTCATTCACCACTGGAGATGTAAGATCTCCTTTAGAGAAGCGCATCCCCCACAACCACACCCGCATCTCTCGCGCGAGATGCAGCATCTCCCGCGGGAGACGTGGTGGCATCTCCAAAATCTTGGATATGTGACACTGCTGACACGGTTAGGCATTATATTAAGGTAGTCGAAATAATAGCAACAACAAGTGTAAACTATCGTCTATTCAGACGATTAAGAAAATGAAATAATCTGAATTTCATCGGGCGCTTTTCTTTTTTTTTGTCGATCGTCCGTGACGAGACCGAGATGACCGTGTTTTCGACATAACTTCGTTAGCTCGCTCTCTCTCTCTTTCATTCATTCTTAACAGTAATAATTTTAAACAAAGAACGACGCGATAGAGTGAATGACGAAAGAAATCAAGGCACATCTTCTAATCGATCACACTCTCTTGCTCGTCCGTACTGTTATACAAGCTGTTAAGTGTACAAGTTGTGTGAACCTATAGAAGATTGAATATAGATGATAAATTTAACTTTTATATTTAATGAAAAGAAAAATAGAAAAGTATGCGTTATAAATAAAAGTAAAAGGACACAGAATGATTTTAATTATGTTTTTCTACGAATCGAGGAACCATATTCTGCCTTTTACGTCGGTTTAGAAATGAAACAGTACAGATATTAACTTGTAGTGTTGAAAAATTTTCAAATTTTTCCATCATTGGTTCACTGGTGTTATACTAACGAACAGTGATCTCTATAATCAGTATCCAGTTTGCAATACTGTGACTATGAATTTTTTTTATTGATCATTTTATGACTAGTCGTCTGAAATCGAATCATTAATGATAACGGTACAAAACTAAAACATGAACCTACTGAACGATTCTAACTATGATTAGAAAAAGAAACTCGTACATCTATACATTCTTCTTTCATACCTGTCTGTATATGAAGCTAATCTTTTTTTCTGTCTCCTCTATTCTTATTTTATAACTTAAAAGATCACTATTTGATAATATTTATTAGTTATAACTGTGGTTGATAGTTATAACTGCAGTTATAACCGTTTTAACTTTTGCGGAATTTTCAGAACTATCAAATTTTTGAAAAATAGTTTTAACTCCCATACTGCATGCCCATAAGCTGATGTTGATTGTACAATAACGACATCTTTATCAAACAACTTTCAATGTAGTCTTTGTTTCAGTATTTTACTCTTTATTGTTATGAAATTTTTTCAGCATTTTGTACTGTCAACGTTTTTTAATTTTAGTTTACAGACAAGCTTACCTAATGAACAGTAATTTCGTATCAGTATTGATATTTTGAAAAATATTAATACATCAATACTAGTGTTAAGATTATGTTTGATGCATTAGTAGAATTTCTATCGATAGCAAAAGAATTAAGTAAATCAGTAAGACGACCGAATTTTCATCTTTAGAAAAGAATATAGGGTGACCAGAAAGACATTAGAGTTAGGAAAATTTGAATATCTCCATTACCGCTCAACCAAACGAGCTCATTTTTCTTTTACCAAGGATAGAGGCATATTCACACTCCAAATCCATACTGACAAGGTTAGTGAGGACCTTTGTTAAGTATATTATTTTTTTTCCTGTCTGTGAAAAAATAAAATTTTCTTGCTGAGGTCAATAATGATACTTAACAAAGATTCTCAGTATCCTTGTTCGTATGAATTTGGAGTGTGAACATGCCTCTATCCTTGGTAAAAGAAAAATGAGCTCGTTTGGTCGAGCGGTAATGGAGATATTCAAATTTTCCTAACTCTAATGGCTTTCTGGATACCCTATATAATCTTATCTATTGTATTCGATTATCATTTCTCTTTTTTATCAAGACGGAGATTACTATTAGTTTGATTGAAACTGACTATGATAGAAGGATAAAGATAAAATTAGTCTTCTTCTGATGATTGATATTGACATGATCGATCATTTTGTGAGTTCAACGTACACATACTACCTGTTTAGTATGTTACTCAACATTTAACGATTTTTAGACAATTTGATATACTTATGTTAATGACTATCAGAGAATTTACTGAAACAAATACAATAGTATCAATGGAAACAACCATTATATCAGATATTTATATCTTCAATTCTCGTCATGTAGTGGCTTTGGGTAGTTCAAAATTTAATAAATCTAGTGTTAACGACAATTATTCAATTTATGTCTTCCCCATGTTATTCGCCACTACAGTCAATCACATACAGAAGGTTTGGAATATGCGTATGAGTGTAAAGTGAGACATTATTTTCATCTGCGACAACGCTTACACCAACATTCACCTATGTTGATAAACTTTCGATAATGATGACTGTAAAATTAGTGAAGAACTTGATTCCATATTTTCAATTCAAGTAAAATTAAATTCTTTTGGAGCTCTGTTTACGTCTCGGGTGCAACACATGTGTTTCATTATCTGCATACAATTTTTATTACTTAATTGAAATAAAAAATGATTTCGAGTAGTATTCAGTTTTCATATTGAGAAAATAAATCTTTTGTTTACTTCATTTTATTTCTTTCCAGATTTTCACAATGGCTTCCTCTTCGAAAAAAACTAGACAAATTTCCAAAAGTGACAAAGCAGGTCGTGTATTTTATTGCCTAAATAGTAATAGTTAGTCGTCTTTCTCAACGTTGACGTTGATTATGAATAAATCTCTGAAAACAATTGCAGTTTTGTTATGTATTTTTTCATTTGTATATGTCACTTGGCACTTTTCCCGTTACACACAAGTTTAACAACAACCAATCATACATGCAAAAAGTGGAACTCAACTACCAGTAGAATTATACATATTCAAATCTGTTATGCTTCAAATCCTTCTCGTAGGTCGTTCTATCATGAAAGTAAAATCTTCTCACCTTGATAAAGTTTCGATGTTATTTGAGGTATCAACTTAAATATTACTTTTATGATTTTCATAGGTTTTAAACGAACGAAGTTGAACTAATTTTCTACACATTTCGTTTCTATCTGTGCCAACACGATGATATATGTTTTCTAGGTGATCATCTGAATGACTTATTAGACAAACACATACTTGGATCTTAATCAGCAAATTTTATTGTAGGTGACGATGAAGATAGTACATTCATTTCTTTATCACCATTACCATTAATAGCAGGAATCAAGCGAAGATATAAATCCAGTTCATCGGTTATTTGCTCATTAACAGTTCGTCAATGCAATTTATAACAAACATATATAGTAAAATAGAGAACCTGTCAATTTAAAATGCTGAGTTGCAACAAATATTGCTAAATCAAGGCCTAGCAAGGAGAGCGATAGAAATTTTTTTACAATTTAATAAAATAAGCACAAATACTAATAAAGCATATGTCTACATATCAGTTCTTCCTGTGAAAGGAAACGACGTTGTATTATTATAGATGTAACATTAAAATTTTAAAAGTCAAAAAAAGTATATTTAGTAGAAAATACGATGATGGACCAACGAAAGCAAATACTGTTGAATTCTTTATGTAAAAAGACAGAAACAAGAAATGCATGTATTAATGCAATACAAGAATAAATAAAATTTATAGTAATCTATATTTGGTTTGACATTATCGATTCAAACAATCCGAATGTCGGCTAAATAAACCAAGAGCAATATTAGAATGAATGAAGATTATAATAGTACACAAGAAGATGACAGTGAATGTTTATCTTGTTTTCAAAAGAAAGTCATGATTAAGTTGGAGTGAGGTGAAGTGGATCTATGACATGCTTATCAAATGCTTCAGCGAGTTCTTTCTCTTGTTGAAAGTCAAGAGAAGACACAAAACGTTATTTTGGAAAATCAAAAAAAATCAAGAAAGCACGTTTTGAATAATGAAGTGAGTTTAGTAGTCCGAATACTCTTTCAAATATAATTTGTCAATTCAAATCTTTGTTGAAGTAGAAGTACCAGATTTTTCTACCGAAAATTCTCAAACAAACAGCACTCAAAACGTTTTTCCTTCTAAATTGGTAAGATTACTGCTCTTAAATATGATTACATATTTTTCTGTTAATTCTCTGGACGTACTCTTTCAACAATGGTAGCACATTCTTTAAGGCACTACTTATTCATGGTAATGAAATAGAAAAAAATATTCGTTTTTCAGCAAATTAGTTAAAATGTTTTTCTTTGAAAGAATTACTCGAATCGGACCTCCTAGCAAAGAAAAAAGAACTACTTCAACATATGAGCTATTTATGTATTAAAGGTTTGTTGCAGTTTTTCTTCAGCTTAACAAGAATAATTTGCATATTCTTATCGAAGTTACAAAAAAGAGATTAAGTTCAATACTCCGTCATATATAATACATCTAAGAGAGTTTTTGCATAGAACTTCTATTTTAGAAACGATACGATGTAAATTCAAACTATTATCACAACAGCTGGAAGTGAACGACCACATTGTCATGAAGCTTTTCGAACAAGACAAAAAAAATGGAAGAAAAATGTACTTCAATCTATCATAGGTAACATAACGATCTCCAGTCCAAACTCTACTTAAAACATTATCTGAACTGACCTTAAAAGGTAAATCGACCGTTACAGAAGATGGAGAGCCATTCCTGCTTGTTGATGAGACATGTAAAATTCTCTTCTTTTTTGAAACCGAAATTTTCTTTGTCTTTCAGACATTAAGCAATGGTGGACGGCTCCTTATCTTTGAATCCGCATCGAGTTTCAAGTATTTATTTTCTTGCTTGAAAATATATTCGAATGGAACATTTTTCACGTAGTCTTTACTATTCGCTCAGATTTAGATTATCTTTGGATATTACGATGGTTGTATGATGCGATGCGTCTCGTGTCTCACGTCTCTAAGTTATCGTATAAACAATTTCATGCAGAGATTTTCACTTGCAACTTCGAAATAGGCGTGATAAATGCTTTTGCACATATATTTCCAAATACAACGATTACTGGTTGCTTCTTCCATTACTCACAAGCACTTTGGCAATAAGTTTAAGATTAATACTTCCACAACTATCTTCACGCAACTCTCACAGCAATAACTTTGTAGGTGATGAAACTAAGAGAACTGATCATTAGCTTTTTAGTAACGGTAAATTTAACTCTTGTTCCATCAGCACTGATGGAATTGGTATGGATAGAAATGATGGATGCTTATATTCCTCAATGTTCTAGTGCTCAAGAATAATGATTACAGAATGGAAGAGTGTATTTGACAAGGATTTATACGTTTCTTCATTAATATCGAAAACGTCCATAATAATATTCGAAACAAGTTACGCCGCACAAATAATGCACTTGAAGGCTACAATTTCCGAATATCTACCCTCTTTTCTCGACATTCTTATATTGACGAATTTATCAGTCAAGTTCAGGACTAACATAAATATCAACAGCCTGACTTGAAAGAGAGTCAAGCGCAAATAAAAAAAAAACGAAAGAAATTTTCCGATGACATTCATGAAAAAACTGATCGCTGTATTCTAAGCATATGGGAGAGAATAGCTCTGGAAAGTGTAACTGGTAACCAAAATCGATCATTTTCTAAAAACTTCTTTGATGAAAAAATATGATCTATCGTGTTCTGATCACTCTTTTTTTTTCCTTCTTTATTATTTACATATGTCACTTACTGTTTTAACATATAGAAAAACAATAAACTATCTCTGTTATTCGTATCACTTATCTTAATTATTTAGCATATGGGGGCTAAATTAGAGATGAACCGAGTTTAGAATCGATTATTTCTCAGCAAAGGCAAAATCCAAAAATATTTATTTGTGACAAATCAATCAGTGATCAGTTTAGACAACGAAATCCATAGTCACATACATGACCAGACGATTCAGTTCATTTTGAAAACGCCAAAAAAATAAATGCATAGCCAGTCATTGTAGGAATTGGTATGCATTTTCATGTGCTTGTAGACCAGCCTAAGGTCTGATTATTGAAATTACACTCATATAAGACAAAAATTATGAATCATTTCATTTAGATAGAGTTTATATTTTATTTTGAAAAATATGATTTTTATGGGCAAAGTCCTCAATCTCCTTCATACAGTGTATAGACTTTTTTCTTTGAAAAGAAAAACATTCATAGAAGTTTTCAATTAAAAATGCCGATTGAATGGTCAATATAATAACCCATTTTTTAACCTAATTCTATAATTTTTGTAAACATTTGCTAGAGGAGAGAAAACTACATAAATTAATGTGGGGCTTTTTTACAATGTCGAAAAGGTCAGTCACATGGAAAGTATTTGACGAATACTTCTGGATGAGTCCGTCGAAATAACATATGAAAATAACTAATTTTGTTCAGCTTTCGACGGTTCCTCTTTTAGTATATCGCACGAAATATTTCTCAAAATTGTTGTCGTCTTTTAAAAGTTAACTTTGTCATCGATAATATTTTAGGTACTCTCTTAATATATGATAGTCATAATCCAAAAGATCAATTTCACTACAAGTGTAAACTCTTTTATTAATAGAATAAAAACAAATTTTGTTAAATCCTCATTATCAATCATTCCAATATACTGAACATCACTGAAAAATGAACAAAACTCTTTTCTTATGTCTACCATTTCTTCAAATTTTTACAGATTTCTGTGAAAGAAAAACGTTCAGTTACTTTCATCGTAAGAAGAGTGCAAAATTCCTTTATGAAAATAAAATTTCAAGATATATAAATAAGAAATTTAGTATTGTCAAGTTTTTTCTTTGAACAGAATAAGTTTCTATTGATATCAAACAATCTAACTACTTCAAATTTTATTTAACTAACAATTAGATATTGTGGAAACAAAAAATTGTCTTCGAATCATGCTGAAATATTTTATAAATATAAAGTTTTAATAATTAATACCAATCTGCAATGTCATATATTTAATCAAATAATTTTCGAAAAAAATCGGTGATCATTGTAGAACTTTTTGACGAATGTGACTTTGTATCTGACTCTTTCATTGGTAAACTGATAACACCACAAGCTATACGAGCACCAGCATTTCTAAAACAAATGGAAGATTTGAACAAGATCTATTCATAATATTATTATAAATACCCAGTTGTGTTACTATCTGGAAAACCACCTTTACCACCATCATCTCTCATAGCGTGTAAAACAATAGTTCGATTAGCAATTGATCGTGTAACATTGTATAAATCGATAATTGAATCACTCAATTCAACAATAATTATACCATTATCATTTGCTGTTAAATTACCAAGATCACCAACATGTCGATGTTTTAAATCAGCTTCACGTGGACCATGTAATGTGCCTAGGCAGACAGAATAAATTACATATTGTTTATTAAAAATTGCTTTATCTCACCATAAGGATTAAAATGAGGACCAGCAGCCGTACAATTAAGTTCACCATTGATCAATGGATCTCTATGTACATGAAAGCCCTGAAGAATTACAATTATTTGATTGATTTTTCTTTTCATAAAAAACATACATGAACAGTATTACTCTTAAGACCATTCAGTATACCAACAACGCGAACTGGAGAATTAGTGTCATGTTGATAAAACAATAGGGTACCAGTGGGAGTTATAGAAGAATCAACATGCACAAGGGCTACCGCTGTCATGGTACTTTGTCCATCCTGGATAAGTAAGAAAACGAGAATGGCAAAAAATGAAAGTTTCATGTTAAAAGAAGAGGTAGTTTCAATTGCAAATAGTTTATCTATGTAAATGTAACCAAAAGAAGTCTATTTAAAGTAAAAGCTTATCAGTGTAGTTCTTAGTTTAATTTAAAGGGGTGCCTTCTTTATCTATGGCTCTTAAATTCTTTTGACGCATATTTTATTATAAAAAAAAAAGGCAAAAACAGTAATTAATAAAATGACACAAAAAAATCCTTAAATGCTGTTTGTTTCAGAATGGAAATAGACAATATACATGAATATAACGAGTGAAATATTATTTATTTTTTGTTAAGATATGATGTTGTATATATTTGATACCGAAATTTTGTAACCAACAATAATTGCGGTTAATAGAAGACACATGATAAGATGAATGTTCAATTCCACTAAAGATGTTGGCATTGACACTTAAGTTACTTCGATGGATTTCTGAGTTGTTCTTACATCATGAGGCGATATTTTGATCAAATCAAAAAGAATTTCACTAGCAAAATTTCTGTTTAAATAAGAAAATCACATTTTTTACGTAGTACACAATTATACACTATTCTAATACTATCAAGAAACGCACTTTTCCCACCATTATCATGAAAAAGATATATATTATAATGGTTCGATTTAAAATGGTTTGTGTTGCATCCAATAATTGAATAGTCCAATCTTCTATATAAATATTAACAGTTCCATCCTCAAATTATTTAACAATGAAAAAAAAACTAGGAATTTAGAGAGACGTAGATGAATTCCTTTTAGCTAAAAGATACCAAGTAAAAAGAAAAAGGCATGATGGTATGATGAATTTCATCTAAAAATTGACAAAAATGGCAAAATAAAGAATGAAATAGTTAATGAAACAATTATCAATATAAAATCAAACCCATGACTTTGTTCATTCATTCTTCTTTTTTCTTCTCGTTCTTTTAATCAAGGTCTTTTAAGAAATAATAAAATAGTTAGATATTATTGATACTTGTCAAAAATACAGAAGACATATATGTTGGTTTCATTCTTTTGTTTTTATAGCTTATCGTATTGATATCAAACCATCTTTGCGTCTTTCTTTTATTCTATTATTATGATACTTGACTATATTCTTCGTCTAACAGAAAAATACTAAAAATACTCTTGTTCTTTTCTTGTTAAGATTATATTTATCAAATTTAAAGACATGTGAAAGCTAATGAGTGAAAGTATTATAATCATCACTGAGTAATCAACATCAACTTAAATATGAATTTTCACAACAAAACAATGAGTACTTAATAGAAACAATAAATAGAATGAGAATGAGTTTATTTTTAGGAAAGATATGTGCACTCTAATGAATCAAAATCACTGAGTAACAGATTAAAATTATTTTATGAGATTGTTTTTTTTTCAATAGTTTCTTTCGATAAATAGATCGATTCAGCTGAAATCAGAGCACTTAACATAATTTCAAATAACAGCTAAAACTTTCACGTAATCTTTTATCGAAAAGAACTTTCAATCAATCTCCAATGAGTTTATAGAAAAAAATCAGTTGAAATAAAATTTTATTCTCAAATCAAATTTAACACAAAAATTGAAGACCTAGATTTTGTAGGGAGTAAAAATGACAATGTGAAGTAAATCGAAACTCTTCAGAATAGATCAAAAGAAGTATTTTCAAGTAATTTTTTATGTTTCATGAAAATATAAACAGTTAATTTATTCAATATTCGAGATAAGTTCTTAACACTAGTATTTATAGTATTTTCAATCATAGTTCGTATTTTCTGTATAATATATTAAAGGAACAATGAAATTTGATATCAATAGTCAGAATATAAAGACAATAAGCTAATAAACATAGAATTCATTTTAAAAATTTTATTTTTTATTCTGAAAGAAGAAATTTCAGGGTATCTACTAGAGACCTACTGAATGAAATTTTTTCGACTCCGTCTTCGAAAATTTTTCTTCGACTAGCATATACAGTGACTTCTTTGTTTCGTAATAATCATTTATGGAATTTAATCTAACGTAGATCTTTTTTTTTCTCTAGTTTTATAATTCATGTTATTTGATTATTAGATTGACAATTTTTGTTTACTCAATGTTATGATTGTCAAAAATAGCTGCTACATAAGGAAAGAACGAAATAGGATTTTTTAGGGTTTCTTCATTTCCATCGACCACCACTCTGTCAAAGTGTAATGTAAGACTCTAGTATTTACCCAAAAAGAAAAATTTGATTATGCGAGAGTAGTGTGTTGGCATTAATCGACACTCTCACTTACCATAGGTTGTGTGTATATTGACTCAAATTTATAATGTTTTCATATTCTTTTTAAATATTATTGATGAATTTCTGGATTTTTCTCTATTGACATTATTTTTCTGTCATGTACCTCATTCGTATACAATTGTACCCTTTTTTCTCACTGCTACGATTATTCATTCTACTGTAATAATGTTGAATTTAAAAGATTATTAAAAAAAAGTTGAAATATGCCTTTTAAAATATGTCATATACTATGGTTTGTTTGATACAATCAATACAAGAAAGTTTTTTTCTTATTAAAAACTACACGAATACCACTGTTTTATTATTTAAATGAGATTCATAATCGGACAATATGCAGGAATATAATAAGTGAAATAATAAAATTAAGCTGTATTATTGATATTTTTAAAAACAAATTTTGTATGAAATTATAATAAAATTATAACGGCAACTATTATCGCTATATAGTATACGAATATAGTTGGTTTGATAATTAATGTATTTGATGTTTCAATAAGACCACAAAGAACTCGAGCACCAGCATTTCTATTTAAATAACAAAATAAGATTTTCTTTTACACTGTACAAAATCATACCCGGTTGTATTACTATCACTATATCCTCCTTGACCACCATCATCACGAAAACCATGTACAATAATAGTTCGATTTAGAATCGATTGTGTTGCATTATATAATTGAATAATCGAATCTTCCATATTAATACTAACAGTACCATTTTCATCAGTTGTTAAATTTCCAAGATCTCCAACATGTCGTTTTGTTATATCAGCCGTACGTGGTCCATGAGTCGTATCTAAAGAAAATACAAAAAAAATTGTCTACCTAAATTAATGATTTCAATGTTTTACTGTAAGGATTAAAGTGAGCACCAGCTGCTGTGCAGTTAGGCGCACTTTTTGAGACTGGATATACGTGAACATGAAAACCCTAAAATAAAATAAAATAAAATAATACAAAGATTTATGTATTCGTTATTATGTGTGACATACATGTGCACTACTAGCATTGAGTCCTGAAAGTATACCAGTAATAACAACAGATGTAGTAGCGTTCTCTTGTTTGAATGTCAAAGTACCGTAAGGCGTTATTGAATTATCACCATATAGAATAGCTGTAGCTTTCATGGCACATTGTCCTTGATGAATTATCAAGAATAAAGCGCTTATAGTTATGATGAACATGATACGTAATCTAACAAGAAGAAAAAAATTTTAATTCATATGTGTATAAATAAGCAAATGATCGTCATAAAGGAGAACTCACACTAGTAGGTAACGCCTAAATATTTTTATTTTTTATTTGAATAAGGAATGTGCATATTCGTATAATTTCTGTTCGTTTTTTTCTTTCTCTCGTCAATTATATCTGTAGGCCCTTCAATTAACCCACATACATCAGCTACTTAATTCAACATAAAGAAACCTAAAAACAACAGTTGACGAAGAAAGACAAAAAAAAGCCTCATGCATTTGAGCCAGGTATGGATTAGTGTTGCTGCTCTCTTATGAGAAAAACAAGACATAAAAAAATAAAATTTGATGCAACGAATGGGATAGTGAAAGAAAGGAGAACACTATGTAACAGTACTGAATTCAATTCTTTTTATTTTTTGTTATTCTTAAGAAAATATTTACATTTATGAATTATTTGTACTTGTTAAAAGGAAGAGATATATTTGTCTTAATTTTAATATTTTACATTTTGATCTATCATGTTGACATGTAATCACCTTTACCTTTGTGTTTTTATATTTTTATAAGTGTCTTATCTCATAGGCAAATACCAAAAATTCTCTTGTTCCTTTTTTTGTTGTTAAGTATCTGTATATAGCATTAAGAAATCGATAAAAACATAAGTGATTGTCGTAATATAAGCATAATCGAAACAACGACGAATAATAATAATGAAAATAACTACAAAGACTACGGTGAGAAAAAAAACTAATTTCCTTAGACAATAATGATTAAGATGTTGAATAGTTCTCATTTTTTTTCTGACTGATATAACGACATTACACTTACGCATCATAAGATTCTTCTTTTGTTTTATCAAGAAAAGGTACGCAATAGATGAAAAACAAAAAAAGCAAAAATCATTAATCTTAAATTATTTAAATCTTCTGATATGGAGTGTAGACGATAGCCTTATCTATAACAAATACAACGAAATAAAAAGAATAGAAACGTAGAATGAAAAATATGATACATTGACATGAATAAGTCAATAAACTTGATAATTGAAATAAATGCTAAGTCTTAAATCTTTCTTTTTTAATAGAAAAACGACAAAAAAAAAACAAAAGATTCATTAAAAGTGGTTATTGATTAAATATAATTATTATTGACTTTCTGTTATAGTTTTCTATTCGCAAAATTTCTTTTGATTAAAAATTATTTTTTTGATTAATCATTTAGATTTTTTTGGTTATAATTTTTATCTTAATATCATTTGTAAAACATGGTTATTGTGCAATGTCACAATATAAATGGATGTATTTTATACCATATGGAAGTACAGTGAATCTCGAACCACTTTTGAATAATATTGAATGTAATGGTGCATCACCGTGTTACTGGCTTTTACCTGATAAAATTAACCGTTTATATTATCCATTGAATAAAAATGAAACAAAATATTCGATATCATCGAATGGAACATTAACTATAGTTGATATTCAAGCGAGTGATAATGGAATTTATCATTTTTTTATAATAAATAATACTGATTGGCTCGTATCAAAATCTTTATTAAATTTACATGGAGCACCATTTGATTCACTTTGGTTAGAATATTGGCCTAATGTAAGTTATTTATCAAACTAATTATCTGATTTTATGTTATTTTATTTCTTTATTTCTAATATAGGTTGTCGGTGGTCTCGTTGCTATGGCAGGTAAAAATTGATATGTAAATATTTTATATTCTCAAAGTTTGTTATATAGCTGTATTCATAACATTTGGTTTAATTATGTTAGCTGATAAATATCGATATCGTCCACCTTCAACCTTATCAATGCGTCGTATATCTAAACGGCCGGGTACCGTTGAACCGATTCATGAATCTATTATCATGGAACGAACAAATCCAAGTATGTTATATATTCTTTTTCTTTTATTGAATTCAATGAAAATTCTTAATCGTTTCATTTTTTAGTATTTGAGAATGATGAAAGTACAATACAAAATCATGAGAATAGTCGACGTTCATCAACTAACAGTAACGAGGCTGAACTACATATTGAACAATTTTAAATAAAAACAATTTTACACTTTAATATGCACTATGGACTTTCCGTTAAAGTATATATTTTAATTAATAGTGAACAAAGAAAAACGCTCTATTTTTCACATTTATAATAAATAATTTTTTTAAAGCTACATTCTCATATAAATGATTGTAAAGACATGTACTCATTAATGATGTGTCAAATATTATGAAAAAGAGATGACTTTTTTTTTCCTTAGTAGAAAATTAACTGGTGGCAGCCGTAATAAAATATTCTATACATCTTATTCACTTACCTGGAACTGAATTAGAAATAAAATGTTGTTATTTTGACATACTGATCAAGCGAAAAGTATAAAAAATACATCAAAAAAAGAAAGTAAGAAATCATATAATAAAATCATCAGAGGGCATATACACGCAGAAAATACATAATAAGATAGGAAAAAAAATGCCTCTGGAAATACCAAGAAAAAAAAAACTAGCGTGTAATACTTTTCAGCGTGGTAGCAGAACGACAAAATATATCGATGGAACAACTATATTTGATAGTGTCTTATTACAAAACTGATAGAATGAAAAAAGAAGAAAAAAGAAATATGCATATCCTGTCATCAAAATAACATATTGTGGTAGAATTTGTGGATGTTGTGAAGAACTAAAGAAACGATTACTCCTTTCTAGCGAATTTTCGATTCCACCGAACAGAAAACAAACTAATATTATTTTGAACAACATTTCTGTACACCATCATTTGACTACAGTTGGTTCGATTGATTTTTTGCTTAACTCGAGATTTCTGCTTTAATCAGTAGCTTATTCAAATATGTTCATGTCAGACTATTGATTTAAATACAATTCACACTGATAACATATGCATTTTATTTTTTTAAAAGAAAAGGAAACAACTGCGTATTATAAATAGAAAAAAAGATTAAAGTCAAATAATTCTTAATAAATACGTTTTTGCAAATCAATTTTTTACAACAATCTATTTGTAATTAAAAGCACATTAATGCTGATTATTTCTTATATAAAAAAAATACAACTCAATCTTTGAATCAATATTATAGATTTATCATGAATAGAATAAGTCTAATATTAATCTTAAAAATCAAGAGACCTTTTTTTCTAAAGGTCGAATGTTCTTATCAATTCAACGAGTTGTTCTCTTTCGTTTTCTCGTCGGATGTAATATGTGCCAAATAGTGATGATGCAGAAAATTGCTTTCTATTGTTAACATTAACTTCCAATATTTTTCTTTACAATTCGTACAAGTCACAATTTCCTTCAAAGAAAATAAGTATTTCTCAAACTAATAGAAATATAGTATTTATTTATGAAAAGCAACAAGAAAAAAAAACCAAACATAGCTCATTAAATTTCAAAAATAAGATGTCAACATAATTGAGAAGATTTCTACAGCATATTATATTTAATTTTACAGATGAAACTAAGAATATAATATCAATTTTTATGTAATGATGGTTGTACACTCAGCATTTTTGCATTAAAAACACGATCACACTTGAAGATTTTTAAATCACATTTATAATGTTTTGGACAACAATGTTTATGATCTGAACAACAAACTCCCTCTTGAACTGGACAACATGAATAGTCACCATCTGTTGAAATACAACAAGTACTAGTCGATGGACATATTGATATAGCATCTGGACAAATAATATCTGCATTTAATGGTGGTTCTATTTCAATACTTTCAGCAAGTGCCATTATTAATAATGAACAAAAAAATATAATAACGCATGTCTTCATTATTGCGTTGAGTACGTTAAACGTATTACGATTCTCTTTGTGATTTTAGATTTGATGAAGGATAAGAGAGATACTTGAGATACAATGTCTTTTTAACAATAAAAAATTAATATGTGAAAAAAATGAATAAAAACCAATGGATTAAATATTTTCTGATAATCGATTTCATTTTGACAGAAACAAGAACATCAGGAAGCATTCACATAGAATTAATAAAAAAATTACATTTTACTTAAAAGTCGAGTATAGGTGCGAACGAGTCTCACACATCAATAGAAAGGTCTAAAATCAAAGAATACGCCATTTTTTTCGATATTATCTTTATACTAAAAATAAAATTGATAAAGACTCAATATCTGTTTACATGTTAGATCTTTAGAGTCTATATTTGCTACTATTCCCATTATTTTATAGATTATATGACAGTGAGAGACTATGATCATTGGTAAAGTACTATGGGTGTTGTATTTCTATGAGATTAGTAGTGAAGATTGCCATTTTCTGGTTACATTTAGTTTTTATTCTTTTTTTTCCGTGTGCATCAACACAGATACAATCCATTGAGTTCGATGTATCTTAGACTTCTATAACATATGAAACTACTCAAAAATGAAATATAATAAAGAGAAATTGCTTGAGTTTGTCATTCGTTTTTGTTTGAGAAAATTCTTATATTCAAAACTTGTTAACATTTAAGCAGACAAGAATTCCTGAAAAAAATGTTTAAAAACACTAATCGTGGTTTTCATTGGAGCTTTTTCATATTCATTTAGAAAACTACTAAAACCAGTTAGTTTCATCGTAAAAGATTTATGAAAATGTTGAAAAGAGTACATCTTGCATATGGAAAACGTGCAAAAAACTTTTCTCCGCAATATTTTGACGTTTTTGACCAGATAAAAATAGCGTTTTTAAGTGCAGTATATATAAAAAATATTGTGAGAAAATTTTTTGCTCATTTTCCAGATGTCAATGGTACTTTTTTTCAGCGTCTTCATGAATCATTGATGGCGAAAGTAGTATGATTTGGTGTTTTATGAATGGTCATGAGTTAGGTCAAACAGAGACAAAAACTAGGATACTTCAATGTATCATCAGAAATTCTTGTCTGCTTGAGTATACTCCTTCTCGGTCCATTATCAAGTTGTATATGTATTTCAAATAACATATGCAAC